TTAGATGTGATAAAACAGTTGTAAAAGGAAAATTTTCGAAGTGTTCAAATAATGTCTATCATCTATCTTTATGTGTCTGTCATCTATTATTTATCATTTATTTATAAAAGATGTACTTTAAATTACTACCTAGAAAGCTAGTGTCTTAGTCACTTGCTTATCACTGGGATTCAATGCTCATAGCTCACAGTTCAGAAGCTTCGGTTCACATTTGAGTTCAACACAGAAGTGGCATGGTAGAGTGGCATGGATGGAGGAAGCCTACTTAGGTCACGGTGGTCAGGACTGGAGAGGAAAGGGGAGAGAAAAGGAGGGGGAGACATACCCCTTCAGGTCACCTCTAATGAGTGGACCCCATGTCTTAACAGAAAGTCACATTTGTGGGCCCATTATTAGATCACCTTCCCAAAGCCCTGCGTATATGCACACAAAGCCTTTGGGGGAAATACCCTCCATTAGAATCATGATGAATCCATGATGACACAGGGATTGAAGAAAAAAGTGAAGAGTAGATATAGATGAGAGGTCTGGAAAGAAGAAAGGAATTTGTAAAATGGCTTGATATACTACAAGAGATCAAATAAAATATGTGGAATTATGCTTTTTACATGGCAGAAATTAATTATGTTCTAGTAGTACAAATTTCATTTGCATTTCTATGGATAAGAGTCTCAGGCCTGTGATGTAGCTCTGCAGAACAAATGCCTGCTTGGCAAGCACAAGGTCCTGAGTTTGATTCCTGGTACCAAAAACAAAACAAAAACAAAAGAATCTTTGCATTACTAACCTTTTTCTGCAATTTGCAGGGGTGTAAGCGAGTCTAGTGAAACAATGTAAACCACAAAATTATTTTTTATAGTCAGATAATGCTGGAGTTTCATAGAAAAAGACCATTACACTACTAAAAGGCCACTCAGTAACCATTTGCCCATTGGAAAGTCTTTTACAATTTTTCTTAAAACAACCTCTTTCTTTGTAGTTAATTTCAGATATTATAAAATAAAATTTAGAAATGTCACTGCATAATATTAATACTATATAAATTTTAGGGTGGGAACTGCAGAAATAACATTTTCTATAGTGTTACTTCATTTTTGGTTTTCTTCATTCATTCAAATAAGCACATGAAAAGGCTTTTTATGCCAAGCTGTGGTCTACATATAGACAGTAGAGTGTTGTGCTGGGCATAGTGTAGATGGTCACTGTTGTATCCCAAAAACGAGGCCCCAAGATGTTGTTCAAAAAATGTTTAAAGACGTTCAAGATGTCTTTAAAAAGAAGCACTTTATTAGCTGGTACCCAGTGACACAGCCTGAGTTTGAATCTGCAAAGCTGTGTGACCAGGTTAGGTTACAGGGGTTTATATAAGAAAAAACCCAATGAAGAGAAAAGGGAGGGGGCTTATACAAAAAGGGAGCATTTAATCTCTGCAAAATGTTTTACAATCAGGGCCAGTTGGTCTCGGGACCCAGTGTTTTACAATCAGTGATCAGCAAATGTTTTACAACATAAGGGTCAGCCGGTTTGGGGACCTAATTGCTGTTCTGGAAGAGGGTAATTCACAAGAAACAAGAGTTGAAACACAGGTCAGGGTAACGAGGCTTTACAGAACAGGGTAGTGACGGCCTTAGCCAAGTTACAACAGTCATTATCTCATAGAGCTGCTAGCATCATGGGGAAATATTAGTGAAATTGTCCTAATTGCTGGCAAAGCATATCATTCAACTAAGTAAGTGTGATCGAGTATGACACCAGAAATATTATCTGAGGCAAGACACAGTAAACTATATGTATAGGATAAGGAGAAAGAGTTAATAGGCAAAGAGGCTAGTGAATAAAATTGAAAGAATATAGCTGTTCAGGCCGAGTGTTATGCAAATCTTCTTTGAATGCAATGGAGATGTTTTAGTGGAATCCTAGCAGTAACAGTGGCTAGAATTGCATTTGAAGAGCATCGTATTGTGTAGATGAATAGAAAGAAGAAAGTGCCAAAATGATGCTGAGATATCAGGAGACCTTGTAAAAGTGTGAATAAACATCTGTATGACTTATTTTAGAGCTACATATAAGCAGAACTCTAACAACGTACCTTAATTCAGGTAGTCACCATGTTTAAAGATGCTTTTAAGAACCAGATGGTTCGCTTTGCTCAATTTTGTTTGCAGGAAAGTGGTAGTTCATTACTTGTGTAGACAGAACTCTGAATTTTTGTCAGAAAATAACTTTACCTATTGGTGCACCCCATTAATACTACTGAAACCTTTGGTTCTCATTGAATTCACTACTCAGTAAATCCAATTCAAAGATCAATATATGATCTGTGGTAATTTTTTTGCAATTTATTTGCAATTTATAAATTATTTCAATGTGAGATGCTTTATATTCAGAGTTTAACTATGAAGAAGCCAAACAACAGGAATATGTGTTTTTCATGAATTTCAAATAACTGGTTCTTTTCTTTAATATATATTTAATAAAATAAATAAAGATATTTAATTAAATATAGGTTCTATTTTGCATTTTTTTGAGCACAGGAATCTAATCACAAATGCCAACTTCTATGTCAAAATTCAAATTTGCTTCTCCTTTTTCTAAAAATTTACATATAACCATGATTTTGTTTACCATAGCATTTTCAGCATAACTGTGTTAACTTCTGCTGTTATTCATATTTGTCTCACCTCCTTAAAAGCTGATCCAACTTTTCTTTGTTATAGTTTTCAAACCACTTTTTTATTCACTCACTTTCAATTTTAATTAGCCATCTTAGGCGACTTACAGACTAAAATTTCTGCTATTTTAAATAATTCTTTCCCAATTCAGAGCCAATACTTTGTAACAGGATCCAAAATCACATTTAAAATGATATGTTTTACAAACAAAATATTAATCACATTTGAAAACTGATTTTCCACTGTTGTTGTTATTACCTGTTTTAATCATTATACATGATTCATAACCACTGGCTATTTGTCTTAGGTTATAGTTGCAAATATTGTCTGCGATGTGGGTATTTTTTCTTTATTTTGTACAAAGTTGTATTTTTAGAGTAAAGGAGTTAAGCATAAGTAAATGATAAAGCCAGCTAAAGTAAATCAACCAACCAGTGGTTTCCAAAAGAGAACGTTAAGGGCCAAGAAACTTCAGATCATTCTTATGTAATCTAGAGTGATAACATATAAGAAAATTTAATTTCTGTGATGTCAAACCCATGAGATTTGTGATCAAATTCCTGGCAAACTTTTTCCCATGAGGAAAATCTTGGGGAGAATGAGAAGCTTTGCAAAGAATGATCATTTTCATATCTTGAAAATCACATACACCAAAAAAAAATCTAAATCTAAAATATCCCAGATGACTAACAGCTATATTGGGTGATAAGATGATGTAATTTACTGAATTTGCATCTAAACATTATCATCTAATCCAATTCAGAAATGCCTCTATTTTTGTCTGTCTTTCAGTTTTACCCACTACTATCAATAGATTCAGAGGAATGAGTTTGTTTTCTTTTAATTCCCTTTGCTTTCTACTCCTTAACTTATCCATTCTTAGGAAGAATAGTTTTTCTCTTCCTTGATTTCTCTTGGATGTTCACCTGTTTCTCTCAGTCAACCAGCTACCCAGAGTTTAGATGCTCTTACTCAGAGATACCGGTTTTTTCTTCCTCAAAAGCCCACTGATACAGGGGAATGAAACTCCTGACCTACTACATGTCCAGTACGAGTTCTTGTTCTTTAAAATCAAAGAATGAATTTTAGGAACAACGGAGGTTAAGAGTGGGAACATTTAATGAAAGGAAGCTTCTGTGTGGGAGAGACAGAAGGGGTCCAGAGCGGGTTGCCAAAGATCCTGTATTTTTTCAGGATTTGTATAGAGTAAATCATGAGGTGAGGCAGGTCTAAAGTTGGGGAAAAGTGGGAACTTGCAAGGCAGATGGGCGTGAGGTGGGACAGAGCTGTGGTCAGCCAATAAGTTTAGTTGGTAAAATTGATCTAATCAGGGAAAGATGGGGAAGCAAGTCACGTAGCAAGTGAGGATTCTTTGTGGATCAGTGACTCTTCTGTAGGGGGTTGGGATGGTGACTCCCGGTTTCTCAAGGTGATCCAGATTTAATCCCTGAGGATTACACTTAAGGCTGTGGCTGCATTTATTTTGCCTTCTGTCCAGAGATCTGACCGTGTGTCTCCTCCAACATCACCAGACTTCTGGTCCTCTGTGCTGGTTTCTTTGAGGGACTAGACCTGTCTGATTGCCTATAATTTTTCTAACTAGCTCAGCTGCTTGTAACACACCGTAATCTTAAAGAAAGATTGTAGTATATTCAATAATTTGACCTTACTATTTTGGGTCTGTTCAATACCGTGGCCTCTGTCTTTGCTATTCTTTGTGTTTCATTGGTAGATTAATCTTCACTACGAACTTCGGTAATGTTAGCTCCTGATCTGTGTTCACTCCTGGAGGAACTTGTTTCCAGATGTTTGCATTGTAAGTGCAGCATACATCATTCAACTTCAGAGATAATGCTCATATTAAATAATTTCAAACTTCCTTAATTGTTTCTAGGACAACCAGCAACAATACTCCTTCTCTGCACTTATTTGTAATACTCTTTTCAGTTAAACTGTTTTTGTTTATTAGATTCTACTATCCTCAACCAAAGGTTCTATTTTACACTTTTTTGGGGGCACAGGATTCTAACCACAAATCCTAACTTCTGTGTCAAAAACTCAAATTTTCTCCTTTCTCTGAAAATTTACATATATCCATGGTTTTACTTTCAAGAGCATTTTTAGCATAATTGCATTAACTTCTGTTGTTATTCGTGTTTGGCTCATCTCTTTAGAAGTTATTCCAAGCTATCGTGGTTTCAATTTTCAAGCCGCTTTTTCATTCACTCACTTTTAACTTTAACTGGCAATCTTGTTGCCTGTTTTAGGGAGGGAAACCTGGGTCAATGGGCCGTGTTACTTAGCTCCTCTGTTCTTTCCATCATCAAGTATATCTAGTCTGTGAGATGTGGAACCTGGACAGGAACTGGATCATGAGAGTATTAACTTCACCAGTGGACTAACCCATCGATAAAGTTATGGCTGAGTGGGAGTGGAAGACGTTATTTCTCTCTTCCTGTTGTCCAGTCTGTGACTCATTACATCTTGAGAAAAACTACCAAGGTAAGCCTCCCTCTATGCATGTACGTGTGTATGTACATATGATGACAGTGAATAACCCTGTCACGTACACATTGGGAATTTACTATCCTTCATTATTAAGAAATCTGGAGACAGGACATTGCAAGGGGAAATAGGATTGTTTCACACAGTGTGATTAGATGTTGGGGATTGTGTCTCCTGAACTTATACCTGAGTAGATAAGCAAAAAAGACTTTTAAAAGTATATGTCTCCATAAGAGGAATATTCAGATAACAATAGCCAGTTATTCAGATAAGTTAGAAGTACATTAGATAATGAGATTTAAGACGCTATATGGCTAATCAGAGTCACACAGAATGTACAGAGTAATACAGACTACACACAGAATATAAGGAGGTTTAGATGGTTTAGGTGACTTTGTTTTTGCCACACAGTAATATAATCCAGGGGTTGCAAAGAACCTTAAACATTATCTAGAAATCTCTTATAAATTAGCTTATTATGATTACTGAGGTACTCAATGATGAAGCCCCGGATTAACTGCAATGTAAATGTAACCCTTCATATTTTGATATAAAGCACTTACCTTTAAATTTGTTTTATCTCAGTCCATTCTTGGTGTTTGGAAAATTTCAAAGTATGTACAGCTTTTTAAGGTCTTCTAGGAACTGATAGGCAAAAATTATCTTAAAATGAGTCAAACTACTGGGAACAAAAGGTGGTTTAGTATTAGTTTCATATTGTTGTTAAGCAAATTAACAGAAATCTTGGGGTCTTAACACAATTTACCCTTACAGTTGAGGTTAGAAGATTAAAACCACTAAAGGGCTGCAGTGGGTCTCAGCAGGTGTGTGCTCCTTCTCTAGGTAAGTGCAGGGTGAATTTTCCTGTCTTTTCCAGTTTCTAGAAGTTTCCCTCACTTCTTGGTTCATGGCGCCTTCCACGGTCATCAATGTTAGGTGGGTACCATGTTTGAATCTCTCTGGTATCTGCTTGTGATCGCATTGTTTTTACCTCTGTTCTGTTTCCTGTTTTTCCTAAACGGCGTCTATGTGATGATAGTGAAATTTCCTGGGTAGTCTAGGAAATATACACATGGGTTTGGGGATTAGAATAAGGCCCTCTTTGACAGAGCCATTAATCTGCCCATCACAGGCTTCAGAAAAGCCCTAACATTGAATATTGTTGCTATAAAATTTGGAGTACTGAAAATGTTATGGCTGTTTGGTTCATAAAATAAAGATAGTACCAAAACATGATGACCATGAATATAAAAGAGGATATCTAAAAAGTATTTTTAAATGCTAGTGTTTAAAATCATAATTATAAAGAAGAGGGTGGGCTAGGAAAAGAGGTGCATCAGAGAATTTACAAGGCTCCAAAAACCTTAGCAAAAAAGAGGAATTCAACAAATAAGAAATGTAACGGACCTGATTGGTGGTGTCATTATTCAGAATGTTCTGTCTGTAAGGCTCACAGTTCAACTGAGATGGTTCTGCATTTAGCAGTTTCACAAAACTTAGAAAGCAGAATTGCAGTAATAGAGAACATCAAAGCTGAAGAAGACCTTCACCATTTTCAAGACTAAACTCACTTTATACAAAGTAAATTGAAGTTCACATTTTTGAGACGTTCAGAAAAGTTGTGCAAGTGCGTGGTGCCAAAGGCAGGATTTAAATCCAAATGTCCTACTTTAAAATCCATTAGTCTTGTCATCTTCTCTTCTAGGAGTTTCTTTTTCTCTCGAGGAGGAAATAGTATTTCCTTTCCTCAGGAAATATAAACTTATTTTAACCTATCATAAAAGATTTTTTGTCAACTTTCTTTCCTAGAGGGCTATAGAACAGTTATCTTTCTATTTTTTACATATAGGCTAGTGCTAGATTTAAACTGCATAGTGTACAGTGCTTTTAATATTCTCTCTCTATATACCATCTTTGAATTGTCTAGCACCATTCAGGTTAGCAATTACTCACACATTTAATATGCTATTGTTCCTGATCCTCAGAAATGTGCTCTGAAGCCTCTAGGCAGATTGCACACGAACAGAGAAACCTCTAAGGGATGCAGCCTGAACCACAGTCTCGGGACCTTGTTACAGTTATTTCTGGTACCTCTACTGCATAAGGCTTTGTTGTTTTAGTGAAGTCTCCTGGTACCTTGGGACACTGCTGCCTAATTTGTGAAATAATTGCTGTATATTTTTTGCCCTGATATGTAGGGAAATTAAAAGAAAAAAAGGTGCCAAGTGGAAAAGCCATTTCTAATACATTTACATCCTCTATAGCAAATGAACTGAGGTCATAATTCAAGCACTTCTAATGCGGGATGACCAGGGTAAGCATTACAGGCTTGTTCTTGGTACCTTATCTCTTTTTGTGCATAGGTTCGATTGTCTTTCACGTAAAATTTCTTGTTTATGTGAAAAAAGTATCAATTCTAAATTTATTTATTGTTCCATGAGTCTACAATCATCTATGGAATTTTTCCTTTGCTCTAGGCCCTGTGCTGTGAAGTTAGGCTTGCCCTAGGTCATCAAGTATTATGTGATCAAATCTGGTTTCTGAGGAACTGAGTTTGTTTGACATACAACCAATATGTGTGCTAAGTTACCAACTACTCAGAATCACTCAAAATATTGTTTGCAGGGAACAATGTCAGGGAAAGTAATTAAAGACGTGGTAGGCTTTCCTTGTGTGGCAGGCAGGCAGTTTTCTAAGTTTGTAAGCCTGTTTAAAAGATGAGAGAGCGAGGAAGACAAGTGAATATGCTGGCCACAGAAACAAGGGCTTGTCACAAGTGCCACTCTAGTTCAAAATTGAGGCTGATTTTCCCAGACTGACTCCTAAAAATTTCTACTTTTTCAGAGCCTGAGAAGATGAGAGTCCATTTGGGTTCTTCTCTGTGCTGGATTCAATTTTGCGAATTTCAAAACTTTACTTCCTGAAAGTTGCATAAAATTTCCCTGAAAAAGCTACTATTATCTCCCCAATTTACCAGATCTGCATGATGATGCCGAGTGGGGCTGAGGGAGTTGATTATAGTCAGGAAACCTGAGCTCAGGCAGCCTGACTTTACAGTCTTAGAAAGTCTTGGCCATTAGTTACTGTTCTGTATCTCCTCCTCTGAAATGCATTATGGGGGAGCAAACACCATCTAAGCCACAAATCAACATTTCAGACTTCCTCAGCAGAGGGATCTAAGTTTGAGGACCTGATTCCAAGATTTTAAGTTTTATAAGTGATTTTTTGACTCTCATAGCCAATTGGCTTCCACTGTATTTAAGGTATGTAAAGTTTAAAAATATAACAGACTTTCTTAGGGGTTTGAAATAAAAAGAAAACAAAGCAGATTTTATGCTAACTCATACACGTGCACAATCATAGCTGATGAATATAGCAAAGTATGATAGAAATATTGCTTTTCAATTGTTTTGGTCTCTAGCCAACTTCTGTTTGTCATCAATATTGTTCAATACTGTCATTATTTTCAGTATTTGATTTTAATTAGGAACTTAATATTATAGAATATATTAATTATTGAACTTGTTCTTTGCCACCTTTAATTATAATTCAGTTCTCCCACACATTTCACTAAAATGATAGATGCAGGAATTAAATACATTGTTAGATATAAATGAAACAGGAAATTTTAAAAACTACAAAGTTGTTTGATAAAACTACACTTGATGGCAATACTGAAAACTATCAGAAAATATTTTAGTTATTTTTCATATACAGCTTGAAATGTAGACTCACATGATTAAGTGCCTTTATCCTCTGAACAAAATTATCTCCTTCTCCTGGGAGTTTTGAATATTTGATTTTTCGCGGTTAACAACCACATGAGAAAAATGTAAAACAAGAAGATGGAAATTTCAAATCATAGAGCATCACAAAACCGAGAAATTTTGTCCCTGTAATATTGAATTAGAAAGACCAACGGGCAGGCTCATATCCTCATAGTTTGGGTAGACATTAATAAATTAAGGTTAACTCAAGGTTTAGGATCAAATGATAAAGTCTTCCCTGAAAGAACAAATTTTAAAAGCAGTTTTGAAATACTTCCCTCGGTTAACCTTTTAAGGAATATGAATTCACTAAAAATGTCATTTATCACCTGAAGAAAAAGATAAATAAAAATCATGAAGTACAGAAATATTCAGATTCTGAAAGTTGACTATGAAATATAGAATAAATACGTTAATACATTTAAGGAAATGAATTTTTATGAATGATTAAATATTAAGAGACTATAAATTTTATTTTGTTCTATCTACTTATTTATTTACTTATTTTGTTTTGGTACCAGATATTGAAATCAGGGCCTCAGGCTTGCCACGCAGGTGTTGTGCCACTGAGCCACATCCCTGGCCTGAGACTCTAAATTTTAGAAGTCCGATTTTAAAGAAGAAAAACAAAACAAAACAAATTAATTTTAGACTTCATTATGGATTCAATGTACTGTATAAGTAGACATGGACTGAAAGAGAATTAATAAAATGGTAGGATGATTACATAGAATTTAAATTAAAATAAAAAAATTTGGAAATAATGAAAGATGAGATTAAATTAGAATATTCAGAGTATATTTAATCACCTTGAGAAGGAATGAATCACGTGAATGTAAAGAATCTACATATGAATCTTTATATAAATACATGTAAACTTTTAATTTGGGTTTATCACAGACAAGGGAAATTATTTTATCATTGGAAAATCTTTATGTTTTCATCATAGTAATAGAGTAAAATATAAAAAAGAAAAAGACAGTGTTATCACAACAGATGCAGATTATTTAATAGCATTAAAAGAATGTATTATCTGAAATGTAAGTAACACAAAATGTTACCTGGCTATGGCTGAGTATCAAGATTATTATGGTCACAGAATGTCTAGAGTTTGAATTTCTATTAGAATCTTATAGAATCAGATATCTTAAACCACAGACACAAATAACTAAAAAATACAAAACATTTGATAGGTAAAAACTTGCATGCTTTTCTTAAATTAAACAAATGCCACATTTCAACTGTTTACATTATGTAAATATTCTCTAGTCCACCTAAATAATGCTTTAGACATACTCTAAAAGCCTTCTGCATAACTGCTTTATGAATAATTGAAATACTGTTCTCTAGTTCAAGAGTCAGAATAACATTATGGAATAAATCAGGCTCAGAACCAGGAGAGTGTTTGATTCTGTCATCACTGATTCTGCAGTGTTTCATGCTGCCTCAATTCAAGCAGAATACTTAAGCCACAGTGGCAGTTTCCAGGAAGCACATTTACTGCTAGCTTTGCCAAAGACTGATGAAAATGACCTTAGAATCCTTGCTTTAATGACGCCTTCTGATTGCACGGTCTCGCCACCCACTGTACCCATGAGGATGGGACCCAGTGGCCAGCTCCGCGGGAGCTCTGACCCCACTGATGAGGGCTCCCCTATAATCTTGGCACTGTATTTTCCCACCTCACCATCCAGAAGCTGGCAGAATGTCTATGTGACATCCAACTGTTAATATACACCACATGAAGCATTTGCTGAAAATTATTTTGTATCCTACGGCCCTAGGGCGCCACTTTCAGATTTGGAGAGGGGAAAAAAGAGAAAAAGCCCAATAATTCTTTTTATATCTTACCAGTCCCATGTCACATTTTATAAAATTTAATCTTAGTTGAAATAGACTAGCTGCCTGAAGACTGAAAAGGAGGTGTGGGAAATTAAGGAAGTCTAGAAAACATTCTGCTTTAATAGTTTAAGATTTGACCAAGTGCAAGGGAAGTGAACAGCATTAGGGGGCCACCATTCAGTTATGGAGAGCAACAAAGTGCTCAGTCGCCAGAGTGTATTCCTCTGCTCCCAAGAGGAGAAGGTCATTTGCCTGCCCGCTGACCAGTGGTGGGAGCCTGGTAAGTACAGAGAGACAGGGAGCTACCAACAGGCACTCCAGGAGATTAGCTGCTAGGAGAAATGAACCCAGCCTTCCTTTAAACACCAAGCGATGCTGGTTTTGTAAAAGAAGTAATGAGTCTCTAACATTGTTCAGGTCCCTTTCATGTCACTGTACTGACACGCACACGTACAAGATGGAATATTTACAATCTAGAGCTTAATATATAAGCTAAATGACACAAAGGGCAGTAGTCTGCTTACCTTTTTTTCTTCTTTCTGAGTCTGGTTACCAGAGTAGTACTGTGGTGCAATTGGCATATCTCGGTGTGCTTCTAAATGCTTTGGACACCTAAATTTCATATTCTTTTAGGAGACGGATGTTTGGATATTGAAGTAATAATAAGCCAAATCTATATTCATATTCATTCAACTTTCTGAGAAAGATTATCTTAACATTATTTTACTCACTACAATTATTTGCCTTTTTGGTGAGAATTAAATTAGTAGTACTATCCATTCTTTTTTGATAAATTATACAGATGTTCATTGCAATGAATTTTGTGTTAGCCTAATACTTAATATATGAATTTCAAATTTAAGGGCACTACATGTGCTTAATGACAATGATATACAAATTTAAGCAAATTTTATCTTAAATATATATCAACATTTTCTAACAAAATATAATTTACAGATGTTTATAGTTGCTTTAACTAAATTTTCTATATTAATGCAAAAACAGAACATTATCCATGGTGTAAGTTACTTATAACAACTTCTTTCAATTAATACTTTGTTGGCATTTTCTGATTTTAATATTCAGCATAGCAAATGGTGGAATAGCCTAAGTAGCTAAGCAGCTTCTCAAGTATCCAAACAGTTATTTTTCCTAGGAGTAAAACATTTTTATAGAAAACCTAAAATATCCCAGTTAACTTACTTTCATAGATTTTCCATTGTGTATACAGCACAGTATAAGTCTATATGGATATCTCTGTTATTTAAATTCCCCATAAATAGAAATTACTATCATTTAATGAACTTTTCTAGTTATATAGGGTTTTAAAAATACACCAGGGTAGTTTTTAGTGAAGCAATACTCATGAGACTCAATGCGGATCTTTCCATGAAAGCATTTCTAAAGGATTCTTTAGATGAAAATAGTTCTCACAATTTGTTCAATCCTAGGATCTTCGACTACAGGCAAATATACTCAGGTCTTTTTAAAACCAGATTCTGTCAGATTATATTATTGGACACATAGTAAAGTAATTACTGTATCAAAATAAATTAATGAATCCCCATAGCTCATGGTTATTCAATCTTCTTTAGGTTTTGTGTCAAAAGTCATTTTCTAGTGATCTGTATACAAGTATGCATGTGCACACACACACAGATAGAGCTGATTCTATGCTACACAATTTAAGTAAATTGACAGTTCTTTTCAACAAAAATAAATGTATTAATGTATTCATTTATTTTATAGAAACTCTTAGCTGAATACTATTGTTGCCAATTATTATGCTAAATGACAGCATATAAACATAACAGATTGTTTTGATGAAGTACATCATTTTAGTACAAATGAAAAGTTTAAAAATATCTGCTGTAACAAGATCTCTAGATTTCTCATGAGAAAATCCCCAAAGGAAAGTGAAGACAACAGAAAAACTGGCATGTACTGTTGGGATGTTAGCTGTGTGGAAGGCTGGGGTGTTCCTGTGACTGTATACAACATCCTGGGGATGTTTCTATTGGTGGTATTAACCAAATTTTCCTTTAGAGAGAAAAATAAGATTATTGCGGTTGCCAAGCAACCAATTATGGCCACGTATCACTTAAGAGTCAGACTGTTTGCAGAGAAATTTAGTGTTAAGCAATTTCTCCATTGAGCACAGTTATACAGATTAGGAGAGCGGTAGCATCACCAGGTGATAAAATTTTATGGGACAACTATCATTCAGGAGGTCTTTAACTGACCATAATGTTTTTATGCAGTGTGTTACTGTAGTTTAAACACCATTGCAATAAAACTGAACAAATTTCTACTACTGAAAAATCCTTTGCATGTACACTTTTCATATTTTGTCAAGTTCATCCACAGTACTTGAGATTATAGCAGGCCTCATACAGTTACTTTAAAACCTCTCTCGCCTCTTACCTGATGGACCTCTGGCAAAGCTCAGTCATGTCGTGGTCATGTTAGTGCCTCAGACATATTGCACAGTGTCAGCACTTGCCTTGGGTTCTTATTATGTCCATACAATCAGCATCTGATTCGGTTACGTGATCTTGACCACTATCCTGGTTTGACTTTCCATGTCTACAGGATTATTTCCAGCCTTGCACAGTGTACTCATGTCAGGGGCCCATACTAACTTTATAATAGAGTCCCCTAAAATTCTGATGCTGAAAACCTACCTTTAGACGTGAGGGTAGTGAGGACAGTGCTCCCTTGGTAGTAGTCTGCTGATGTCCTTTCCCAGGAAGGCTTCAGACTTGAAAACACCGTGGGGCATTCTTCTTCTTTGATTGCGGGTGTTAATGCCTGCTTTTCCTGAAATAGAGGTAAATTGGTCTTCTAACCTCAGGTAAGTTCCTTACTTAGCGGGTGCCTCCAGCCTAGGAGAACACCCAAGTGCTGTCTACATAGGTCATCAGCAAAGCTATTTCACCAAAATGGGTTCTGGGGGAGGATAAGACAGGAACATCTTGTGAAACAGATCTCCTTTCATTACAATATGTTACGTGAAGCAGTTTGATGATAACTGAGGATGTCACTAAAAGGTATACACAAAACCTAATTGTTAATAATGGAAAAATAACAATGGATCATGATAATAAAGCAGTGAATTACAAACCAATAATACTATGAAATGTTGTATTGCCCTTCACTTTAGTTCCTGAACAAATACAAAAATATGAAAAAGCCTGAGGTGCACTGTTTATTTTGTATGTGTGGTACAATCCCTAGCCTCCCTCCACCTTTTTTAAAAAGAAAACTTCTAGGTGGTTTTGCTAAGTTTCCCAGGCTTGAATTTAACTTTTGATCCTCCTGCCATAGCCTACCGAGTAGCCAGGCTTATCGTCACGCACCTCCATGCCCAGCTGAGAGGACAGCCTTCTTTTGTGAATGAAGCCACTCAGGCAAGTACGCCATCTAGTAGAAGAATTCCTTCAAATTGCTGCTTCCTAATGTTTTCTAACTTAGGGACTGTCTAAACATTTGATTATGGACAGGCACTTTGTTTAGCACATTTGTTCTTTCAGGGGATGTTGTCAGGTTTCTAGACATGGGGACTATAAATTCCAGATTAATAACACATATATAAGATATGGAATATTAATTTTATTAACTTCTCAGGCATTCGTATTTTAGGAGTAAGTGATTAACCTTTATTACTTACCATAAATGACTTAATCATGAGCAGAGGTCTCAAGATATTAGAATATGCTCAGGAAGGAGAATGTGATATATATAACAATTCAGAAAATAAAAACGATATCAAAATGCTGTAGACACATTGGAGGATTCCACTGATAGTTCACACAGAACATAACAGGACTGCTTTTACTTCATCCTGAGATTTGGGTCACATCTCCATTGTGTCAATTTCCCTAAGTATCATCATTTTTTTTTTAAATGAACTGAGCTCTATTTTGGAGGAAATTAGCACTTTTTAAATTTTATGTAATATCTGTTTGTCTCCTGACAGCATCTTTCTGGAGAACCTCACAACTACAAATGATTAAGGAACCTTGAGTCTAACAGCAATCACACACGGGTAAGCTCCATCCTGGCAACACTAATTAGTACCAAGAAAATTGAAGCCCCTTTGATATTTGAACTATATTTCTTACCAAATCATCACATTTTATTTGCAATATTGGGATGCCAAAATGCAAATAATCCGATTTTCTCAGATATAAATTGTAATAAATTTAATTTTGAAGACATAATGGTTTTCCAGGTGGAGTGTGACAAAACATACTACCTTAAATTTTACTGATATGTTTTGAGTGCAAGTGGAAAGGAGTATTCACTTTTCAGTCATTTCAGAATTACAGAACCCCTGGGATAGGATAGGATTATTGAATTAGGTCCCTGCCTCCAAAAAGTTAAGGCATTACATTTCACACGAGGTCTGGTTTCTTACTGTGTTACAAGGAATTTCTCAACTATCTCTCAATGCTAAACCATTTGAGGATTAAAAAGGTCATTATGTTTTACTTGCTCCCCATTTTAAGTCAATGCATGTTCTCCTTAGTGATATTTACTAGCTTTATAATATGCAGCATCATAGAACATCATTCCCTGTTAATGTTATAAAAGAAAACTTTCCAAATGCAATTCAGTGAGAAAGCATTGTGTTCACTCAACACATGCTGAAACAATTGTATATTCTTGTGCAAAACAGTTAACTCCCATCAATACTTTGAGCCACATATAATGTTTGATGCCAAATGGTTCATAGACTGAGCTGTATTACTTAAAATTATAATATTTCTAGATAGAGAAGAAAACCTCTGCACCTGGGTTAGGCAAGGATCTATTGGAAAGCACAATGTTGCCTGATGCATTACAGAAAATACTGCAAATGTTTTTAGCAAAATTAAGAACCTCTACTCTTTAAGATAATGTTAAGAGAATGAAAAGACAAATTATGTTTGCCAATCACATTTCTGTAGGTTACATATTTATATGCAAAATAAGAAGAGACAATTCAATTAAATACAGGCAAAATATTTTATATACCCTTTGAAAAGAAGATATGCAAATAAAAATATGATAAAGCTACTTAAAATTATTTGCTTTCAGAAAACTACAAATTAAACCTACAATGATGAGTTTAAATATTAAATTTTTAAAAGTCTGATCATCCCAATAACTGCTGACATTATAAGCCAGCTAGAAATTTCATGGATTAATGATTGTAACACCAATTGTATAAACTCTTGTAGAAATAAGCAGTTTTAAAAAAATGTCTAAACTTACTCCTGCAAAATGGATCTGACATTTCACTTCTCTTTCTCATGAAAAAATGGAAAAGATATCTACAGTATTCTTCAATGAAGAAGTGGCTTTTCATATTTCTTTTTTTGTTGAATAAGTAGCAATGTTGGATAAACAGATGAAACGCTGGGGATTTAGCTCAGTGACACAAGCACCTGCCTGGCAAGCCCAAGGTCATGAGTTTGATCCCTGGTACAAAAAAAAAAAAAAAAAAAGGAAACATAAAGCAAATTGTGGAACATTAGGGGTGTGTATAAAGTCAGGAATAATAACTTCAAAGAGAATAACAAAATCTTGTGTTTGATAAATATGTTCCTACTCTTAATTATAGCAATGGTATCATACTGTAAACATCAATTTGAAATATGTATTAGTTCAATGACAGGTACACCTTGATAAAGCTGCTTAGAAAACTGTTAGTTTACATACCTGGCATATTAGCTGCTAAGCCTTTTTTGTAGTCTTTGCCTTCAAAGCCATCCTTTGAATTATTTATAATGCAGTTAGAAAAGATTTAATAATTTAATAAAAATAATTATCTCTGGAAAACAGACATCGAGGCTGGACTAATACAGCACTTTGTTCTCTGCTCCTGAAACTCATAGTCCACCAAATGTTAGGAAAGTTTGCTTTCACGATTGAACATGTTCATTCTATCTTCCATTTATTTCTTGAATCCTTCTGCAAATGATTGTTCTTATTTTATTTATGTCTGCCAGGCTTCAGATTTCTAACCTGGATTACAGAAATGGCTTTTCTTTTGTATTTCTCTTCTTGTTGAGCAAATAACATTGTTGAAAAAAAAATATAAAGGAAATTATGGGACACAGCTTATCACCTTTCATAATTCCAAAACCAAAATTTTGAATTTACCCTATCTCCTTTGCAGAAGTAGAATATGAATAGATAATGTATTCTGTAAAAGTAAAATTACTGGAAATGAAATTCCAATGTACTCAGAGCTTTTGCTATTGTTACCGGTAGTGTCAAGTTGAAAAAGAAACATCCCATGGGCTGGTCAGCACAGCTCTGAGTGTAGATAACGGACTGCCTGAAAGGGGATGATGCAACCTGACTGTGGCCGGCTCCAGCCCAGGGCTGTAGCGTGGGTGTGGTAGAAGCGGAAGGAAGCAAAATTGGGCTCTGCTTCTGTAGAGGAGCATTTCCTAAAGTGCAGTCTCCTCAGCCTTCCAGCTCAGATCGTTGGCTTTTGAATGAACAAACCAGGACTCTTCAGTGAGCTCCTGCCTTTTGCTTCTGACTGGATCTTGGGCTCTGTAGACACAGGTGGCCTTTTTGTATTTATCCACACTTGACTCTGCAAGAGGCCATTGTAAGCCTGGCTTCTTAAACATACACATAATATCAAATCTGCTCATCTAGTGGACCTTCACTGATACAACCATCTTAAATGATACTGTCTTTTTATAGATATTGACATCTTTAATTACAAGTAATTGGCTTCCGGCTTCACCTGCCCTGTCCCTATGGACCGTCCACAAAAACTAAAGCAGGCAAAAAATAAAGCCTCAAAAATTTCAAATATTTGGTTTTGTATAGAGCATTATACTATAATGCATTAATTTATAAATCAATTTAGAAGACTAAAGTTTTGAAATAACATACCAATCAAATAAAGCATAGTGGAAAGTGATACATATTTGGGGATAAATGATTAGAGCATTAGATACTGAAACTTTTGGAATGCCTATAAAGTAGTAAGTAGAGAAAACGTATTGTTTTAAAACTTTTTATGAGGAAAAGAAAAAAGATGAAATTAAGGAGTCACATGCAAAATTAGAAAAAAGAATGAGTCAAATAAAATAGAACTAAAAATAACTATGTTAAAGAAATTAATAAAAGTGACAAAAACTAAATTAATTTTTATGGTCAAGGAGATGTGTTTGGAAAGGTATATGACAAATATGTGAACATTAGTAGTACATTTGTATGTACTTTTATTATTTTATGCTTTTTATATGTAGTTGTAATAAAATCTAAAAATTTATCTAACAATAACTTAATGACTACTTTAATAAATATTTGAATTTCAATATTCCATTTTTCTAAATTACTACTATAGTTATTTTTATAGGTTATTGTTTTTCAAATGACAACATTACTGTAACAAAATTTAAACTGTATGAGAGGGATTGCTATACCCTTAAAAATATCATTCTCTAGTATATCAAATTCAAAGTCTTAAAACTAATTTTATTCATGCTTTTAATTTTACAACTTGTTCTTATCTTTATTATTTCTGATCTAGATCATTTCTGTTCTTTATGGAAAAAATTGAAATATCCTTTTTAAAGGGACTGATTTGTATTAGCTATAAAGACAAATCAAAAATAATTGTCTATATAAATGTCATTAAATTATAATAAGTGGTGTATAAAATTTGTTTTATTAAACACATCAGACAATGGGACATGCTATTTTTTATTCTTTTCTTCCCTTTGGACCTTACTTTTTAGTTAGTTGTTGCTTTATATCTTATTGCCCACCATAATGACAGATATTACTGGATAAAAGTGCTCTATTTAAAGACATACTATCATTTCACTGATTTACTTCAGTTAAGTGCAAATTCCCTCAGCACTCGTTAAAAGGCATGAAGCAGTACAAAAAAGAAAATGCTAGTTAACTTGAATTTGTTTTCTTTTTAGACCATAAAACATTCACTTATTTTACCTGTTAAACTCTTCTGTAAATACAGTGATTTTGAAGACCTTTGGTATTGCGTGATACATATTTTGGCATTGTAGCTGTTCTGGATTTCTTCCATGGTACTTTAATTTTGTGGTTCAGTGAGCAGAACTAAGAGATCTCCAGGAACACTTGTACTTAAAACAGTCAGGGGTGTGCTGCCTGATGAGACATTCAATCTTTTCCCCTGATGAGGAATCCAGTCAGAAAAGCCCTTTGCTTCTGAACCCTGGAAAGATTTTAAAGAAAATCAAATGGCAAAACTCAACATAGGTTTCTGTAGTTCTGTAGTGTCACAGTCTACCAAATGCTTAGTAAATGCAGAAGCTGTGACTGGTGTGATGGAATAGATGTTTAGATTTTCAATTTAACCTCTTCAAACAGCATAATATGGAATTTCATGTTGGAGCTCAAGTTAGCAGTGGTGCATGGCATATTATTTAATCCTCAAGAAAAAAGCAGGTTTTCCTAGTTTTATATGTAGTTGAGAATTGTAAGTCCTAAGAAAATTAACTCGTATCCTTAGTGCTACATACACAGTAAAGAGTGTATCAGGGGTTCAAATCCATGTCTATCTGATATATGAGCCTTTGAAAAATCAAAGATACTATAATTTTGAATATAATTTATAAACCACTCGAATATTTAGTAAGTAATAAATAACATGGGAGGTATTATTCTGGCACTGCAGAATTTAAATACTATACTCATTGCATTGTCGGAGTTTACCTCTAGTAACGATGACTCTACCTACCTGCTTATTATAATTCCTGTTAATGATATCATACATTGGTTATCCTGGATACTCTGGTAAGTATCTCCAGGGAAGCTTTCCATAGAGGAATTTTGTATGGCATATTACATAAATGTTTTTCTATAGATAAAAGCTAAAATTATGCTTAAAAATAAAACCACAGTCTTCTTATTTATTTATTTTTTAATTTTGAGGCAGTACCTAATTAGTTTCCAAGCTGGTCTACTGTCTCAGCCTTCCAGATAGTTGGGATTCTCGGTGAGTGCCATCAACATTCAGCTCAAAAAATCTTCTAACATTTTTATGTT